TTTCAACAAAAATCATTATTTATATATATGCCTATATATATATATATATATATATATATATATATATATATATATATATGCCTATATATATATATATACATTTTTTGTTATATTCAGTACATAATCCACATAAAATGTAGACCTTTTTTTGATTGGGAGATGTGGGGGTTGGGGGGAGGCGTTAGAGAGCGTACGCACCAAAATCATTACAAAAATATCGTTTTATTAGCATGTGCACTTTAACGTATTGAATCAATGAGACAATCAATTCTATTTTCTGAATTTGCATTCCTATATTTCATGAGATTATGAACAAGTAGAACTTTAATTTAATGAGGTTTATATTTAAATAGGTCTACTACACAGAATATGTAAAAATGAAAATAATCTATTTGGATGTAATTCTCACTAGTTCAATTTCTTTCATTTCAGTGTCTCAGGTCAAATCTACCGATTCATATAAGAAGTGCGAGATGGATGTACAATCATTGTCACCGGAACACGTTGTATTAAATTGTCGGAAGTCAATGTAGTATCAATAGCCGGATTTATGCGTCAATTAGGCCTAGGCCTATTGGGTTTTATACCACTGGATCATCGGAATTCAATTGAATTTGTAAATTATGTTTCTTGTACAACGAACAAGTAGTCCTCAAACTATATTATATACGGTACTTAAATATAATTAGGCATAAGCACTATAAAATTGTGTATATATATATATATATATTATATAAAACTACAATCTTTATATTACGTTTACATGTAAGCATGTAAGAAATAAAAGTTAACTGATGTGAAATTTAAAATACATCATCGTGTACTTCCTTTGTCGTAATTGCATTAATGATATATTTCATAATATCAATCAGTACATAATCGAATTAAATATATTATAATCAATTTGAAATACGGTACCACTATTATAAGCTATACAATATCTTATAAACACAAATATTCCCATGATAAAAACAAATTACGAAAATTTTTTTCAGAGCAAGGTGCTGCCGAATTTTACAAAACAGGAAATGACGTCAGTTGCTAGGCTACAGCGCATGCATATTCAGTAACACCTGTGCTCATTAGACTAACAATAAAAACTTTTAGCTCAGTTTTGACAAAATCGACCAAAAAGATTTTATTGTTAGTCTAATTAGAACAGGTGTTACTGAATATTCATGATATGCATGAGCTTGTTGCCTAGCAACCACGTCATTTCCGGTTTTATGTTTTGTTGTTGAGGGAGTCCTCGAGAATTTCATTGCTAGTTTAACAGGCAAAGTAGCTAATTTTGATGAAGCAATTCTCCTTAACTTTTTGTTTATAAGTACATTTTAGCTATTGGATATACTAAAGCAAACACAGAAATTGAGTAAGATGAGAAGCAATTCATAATTCAATTTGATCTTTATTTCCAAGCATTGAAATCAAGTTGGAATATTTTTATACATTTTATTTCTTTAACATATATTACATGTACATTTGGCAAAAATCAATAAGCCTGATTTTAATTCTTAAAATTGTATATCTTATTATCTTACATGTGTCTATATTTTTACAATATGACAGGTTATTTTCTCTATTATCAAGAAAAACATTACTACTAGTAATAATAAATAATAGATATAGGCCTATCGATAAACATAAAGCCTACAATAATTAATAAATATTTCTGCTTTTTTTAGAATTTTCAGAGCAAAATATTTTAAAAATACTTAAATTCACACTATATTTAAATAATTATTTCATATCTATTTTTTTTTTTTTGCGAGAAGCTTGATGAGTGATAACATTAGTCTATATAAGTTGGTAAGTTATGTAGCCCTTTCACGATCGAGTCCGGACATCCTTTCCTGACGTATGTGTATTCTTTGTCTACATCACTAGAAGAGAAAAATATTGAGAAATGATTTAGAAACAGAGAAAGAATTTTAACGAAGTATCAACAACATAATATATAAATAAAATTATTGAGCACCCCAGCCAGAGCATTATCGTATTCAGTTATCGCATTGTAACGCTGCTGATACAACAGAATAGTACGGTACTTCACACTTCTTATCATATCAGCATTATCATATTATATATTAATTATTATTATAGTATCATAATACCACGAAATGAATGAGGTTTAAATAATGGTATTGGACAGGCCTGTAGATTTTAATAGCGTAAACAAATTATGTTAACATTAATTGTGTTAGTTCGTGATGTGAGCGACGATAGATTCATAAATATATTCAAACATATCCATTGGTGGGGTTGATGAGCGAGATTTTACGGCTTACGATCGCCCATGTGCTTTGTGAACAAAATACTAGAGATTGGCTATCAAAATAACTATGTTTGGATCGGCAAATTAATTTTGTCGTAGAGTCGGTGTTAGTTTGTAATTTATGGTAACTCGGGCTACATGGGCAAAGCTTACATTTGAATTAAAAAAAATAATAATATTAGCTACAGCATACTGGCGCCAATGACACCACCTTATTTAGAGTATTTGTGCATACGTGGCCACATAGAGAGAGTGACGCTAACTCAAGTACGGCTCATAATATAAAATATTGTCTGGATCTTAAACTGTATCTGGTCCTCTTAATTCATTTTTTCATATTTGACTTTCTTTGGAGGGGCACCACAGTGAGCGTTTTCTTTTAAACAGATACCAACGCCTGTCTCTTATACACATCTAGATGTGTATAGCCGACTGGGGGGGGGGGCGGAACGTCACGGAGTTTGTGGGGCCCTGGCACTGACTCTTATAGGAGGCCCCTAATAAGTGAGCAAAGGGCGTGTTAATTTTCGAGCGGATTATGTCATTTATAATAGAAATATTTCGGACAATTTAAGGACAAAACTAACACTGCACAAACTTTCGGAACTCAAGGTATAGGCCTACCGGTAGGCCTAAAGTATGTACTCTATGTTGTAGGTGTAAATAAAAAATAAATAAAGAAAATATTTTAGTGAGAAACAAACATGTTTTCATAACGTAGGCCTATATACAATGCAAATCAGATTGATCGCAAAATCAGAAACAAATGTCAAACATCAGAACCCAGCTTTTATTGTTTTTAAAAACTGTTGGGGCCCCATTGAATGAAACTATGGTACGTATTTTTAAACTACAATGTCGGGTCCCCTCGTGACTGGGGCCCGCTTCTCCCTCCCCACCCCGTCAGCGCCTGAGCGTGACGCCACTGCTTGGAATGCGTGTTTAAATAGAATTCGATCCGACTCGACCACAAGTCAACTCGGCCACAATCAACTTGGCCACAAGTTAACTCGGCCACAAGTTAACTCGGCCACAAGTCAACTCGGCCACAAAAAGTTTGGCTACAGTCAACTCGGCCACAAGTCAACTCGGCCACAAGTCATCTCGGCCACAAATCAACTGGGCCACAAGTCAACTCGTCCACAAGTCATTTACTGGTACTATATTGTACTAATTATTATTATTATTATTATTGCTGTTATTATTGTTGTCATTATTATTGTTGTTTTTATTACCGTTAGTTTTAATATTAATTATTAGTCTTAGCATTAACATTATATATTGTTCAAATTTTTGCTGATATTATTATTACATATATATATAGTACATATATTTATAGTAGGCCTACCATATAAATAATAAATAATTTTCGATTTTTTATTATTATTATTCATATTATTATTATTATTATTTATTAGTCTTAGTATTATAATTTTAATAATAGTAATTTAAAAACTTGTTATTATTGGCGTTTTATTAGTAATTTTCTCATATTATTATTATTAATATTATCATTGTTGTTGTCACCTTTATTATTGATATTATTACCCTATTATTACTAAGTAGGCCTTATAAGTATTATTATTATTATTATTACTAATTAGTATTACTATTATTATTATAAAAATAAACATTATCTTTAATTTATTATTGTATTATTGCTATTATCACCTTCAATATCGTTATTATCACTAATTAGTTATTAAAATTGATATTTGAATATCGTTATTACCATACTAGTATTATTACTATTTGTTAAAATAAATATTAATATTAATGTTGTTGTTATTATCACATTTACTATCGTCATAATGACTAATTAGTATTATTAATGTAAATATTACTAATTTATTGTCGTTATTGTTGTTTAATATTATTGTTGAAGTAGAATGTTGTGAGTAAACAGAAGACGAACACATTAATAAATAACTCTTTTTAATTCATAGGCAATAGCATTCAAATCTCTTTTGGTAGTGTGGTGGTCCTGTTTTACTAAAACATACTGTGTACTTTATTTCAATCATATATTGAAGAAAAAGGATGCAAAAACTTAATTTACATTAAATAACTTGTGGCCGAGTTGACTTGTGGCCGAGTTGACTTGTGGCCGAGTTGACTGTGGCCGAGTTGACTTGTGGCCGAGTTGAACTGCACCATTTAAATAACGTTTCTTTAGCCAGTTTCAGGCCTTTGTCACTTGGAATGCGTGTTGTTGAATAGAATGCAGCCATGTCTGTGCTTGCATCAGTCGATTGAAACATGTCAACTAACAAACTTAGACGAAATAATAATTTATAGTATGATGACAGAATTTCCACTTAACTATTGAATTAACGATGCAAAATGTTCAATGCATTACTCACATTGTTATTAATTTTAAAGTCTTCTTCGTAATCTTTCAACTCTGCATAGGCCCTACGTATTGTTTATATGAAAAGCGCCACCTGGAGAGGTATAAAAACATTTCATTATTCTTTTTCTAAAGCGCCATTTTTTATGATGATGATGAGGATAATGCTGATGGTAATGGGTATGGTGATATTGACGATGATAATGATGATGATGATGGATGGCGATGATGATGATGGTTATGATGATATTTTTGATGATGATGGTATAATGATGATGAAGATGGAACAACTATAACATCAATCACATAACAGTAATAATAATTTTTAAAAAATACATCAGCAATAATAACCAACACTATAATAGGTCTAATAATCAATACTTTTCCTTCTTATATTTTCTCATTTTTCGTTGAATCTTTCACTCACACTTTTCGCCATTTTCCTGTGTATATTCCTTCTTTACCCACTACACTGTAGGCGATCCCTGTTGGTATCATCCCGGCCCAGTTGGTCGAAATCCAGTTTTTCGAAACCCGGTTTGCCGAATTTAACCCACTTTGCCAATAAACCCAGTTTGCCGAATCCAGTTCACTGAAAACATGAAATCACAGTTGGCCGAAACCCGGTTTGCCGAACCCAGTTTGCCGAATTTGAATTTTGTCGTCACCGTCGCACAAAAGTGCAACACGCTACTATTTTGAGATAAAATGTAATAAACAGCAATTATGTAGGCGAAATGGAAACTCAAGACTTAACTATTTTGAACTAAATGTAATAATTGAACGGTAATTATTGTAGGCGAAACCGAAACTCAGACTTAACAACCACAAACAAAATTAGTTAAGACCATCAAAAGGGCTTCCTGTTGCTCACCATTTTAATTTACTGAGCCATACTATCAGTCATTTAGGCTTTATAATCTTAGGCACCAATTTAAAATCTACTGTATTAAGGCTAGAGGACTGGGCGGATACCCTCGGGACATCAACCTTAGTAGATCTGAAATTGGTGCCTAAGATAACTAGCCTAAATCACTGATAGTATGGCTCTTTAATTTGAAACAGTGAGCAATACTGAAGCCCTCTGAAGCCATCTAAAAATTCACTATTCCAGCCGTACACATTCTTCATAATGTTTTGAGGCATCTACTGATTGATGACCACCTGATGAAGGGCGATGCCCGAAAACGCTTGTGTTTTTACCAATAAAAGTTATGGCTACTCTACACTTTAGCATTATGCGTTTTATTACTATAACGTATATATATATGTTAATGTTTCACTACTTTTAACTGACTTTCGGCAAACTGGGTTCGGCAAACTGGGTTTCGGCCAACTGGGATTCATTGGTTTTGAGTCGGCAAACTGGCACTCTGCAAACTGGGATTCGGCAAAGTGGATTTCGACCATCTGGCCTAGATCCATTCTGTTGGCCACACCATTTCTCTTTGCATACAGTTACACACGAGACATATCTGTCTATCATTTTGTTCAAAATGGATTTCATGATCTCACATCACCAACAAGCTCTTAATGCTAGCTCTAGCTCTTTCTACCACTTGGATTTTATTTACACGTTTTTAGTATACTTAAAACCTCTGTTGCTTTTTGGCTCCATAGATTGTCGTTTCATGACTTTGGTAGTAAATATATTTGAAGTATGCTAATTAGTACAATGAAAAAATAACATTCACTTTCTAAATTACAATGAATTCCAGATAATAATCATTAAAGCTCTAAACCAGAACCCCAAAACCGAGAGGAAAAATGAACCACTTGGTTCACATAAATTATTATTAAAGGTTTATGCCTAATAAAAGAACACATAAAAAAAGCACCAATTTTTGAAAAGACATTTTTTCAAGCATGGTGCATGAATCGGACAGTTGTTCTACATTCCGTAATAATGGCTGAAAAAACCATCTTTGGTTTCCGTCTTTTGCCCTTTTTCAGGGACGTAGCCAGGATTTTGAAGGGGGGGGGGGAGCCGTTATGCGAATTACATAGGACCCCGGCGGGGTCAAGGGGCGAATCCCCCTGTGAAGTAGCGCACTCTGAGCGTTCTTAGGACTGTTTGAGAGGATAAAGTGAAAATTGCAATAGACGCATTATAAAATAAGCGCAAAAATAATTATATAATAAATCAACAGTGGCAGATCCAGGAATTCGAAAGAGAGGTGAACCAGGGAGGGACTTTCACAGACCGACGAACCACCCACCTCAGCCCCACTATGGTTAAGGGCTGAGGTAAAAAAATTGATTAGGGCATCTCTAGATGGCCGGAAATTACACTCTCGCACTTCAATTTGAATATATTTTTCTTTTTTTTCCTTAAAAAAATGAAAGGGGGGGGGGGTGGCCTTGAATCCACCTCTGCTCAAAACATTCTTTATCCAGAATAGTCATATCAGGAAAAATGGACATGAAAAACCAGATCACATCCTAAAAACAGCAGTCACTAAGACATACATCAGACTGAGCCGCGACTTAATGGAGTTTAATGTCATACTCAGGGAAGGGCACAGATCTGTTTTGAAAGGTGGAGGGGGAGGGCATTTTGTGAGTCCACACCAACCTCAGCCCAACCATGGTTGGAGCTGAGGTGAGACAATTTGAGGAAATAGTACCTCTAGATGGCCATAAATGACACTTTTAGTAAAATTCATCATCATCACATCACCATTAGTCAAAATGAAGCGCCAAAAAAATTCTCATGATCTTTTATCATGGATTTTTTGACAAACATATATGAGATCTTATTAATGTGTGTGTGGTATACCATAGAAAACAAAGCTTAAAAACATTGTCTTTGAGATGTACTTTACATAGGCCTACTTCAAAAACGTGATTTCACAACCACCTCAGCCCCACCATGGCTGGGGCTGAGGAAATTTGAGGAAATAGTACCTCTCGAGATGGCCGGAAATGACACTTTTATATAGTAAAATTCATCATCATCACATCCCCATTATAGTCAAAATGAAACGCCAACAAATTTCTCATGATCTTTTATCAGGGATCTACTTAATATCCAGGACAACTTAGGCCTAACTATAGTTTACTAAGCTTTAACTATATACTATATTATGATCAACAAATCACAACTTTTCTTCGCATTTAGCACAATTTTTATCACTTTTTATTGCATTAATATTATTATCAATTATTATTATTGTCATCATCATCATTGTTATTATTATTAGTATTACTATTAATTAGTAGTAGTATTATTAAACAAAAATTTTAAGAAACTGGCAAAGGGATAAAAACGAAATTGGACCACAGTATCGCATTTCTATCTTAAAAGACCTGGCCTGAGATTTATGGATTTAAGATTATTTAAAATCACGCTTATGCCTATGTGTTCTATTAGGCCTGTGTATATCATGTACTGATGCATATTTACATGGATTTCTTTTATGATTTTGGCACCTGCAAATGGCCGATAATTGAACTCTCATATAATTTGAATATCATCTTCTTTTTTTTCCAATTTTGGGGGTTTTTTTTATTTTGAAAAAATTAGGACTGGGCCTTCTTGAATCCGCCACTGTCAATGGCGGATCTAGGAATTCAAAATAGATGGGGCAAGGGACAGATTTTCACAGATTGAGGGTCTATAAAACCAAGACCCACCAGAGTTGGGGCTGAAGGAAAAAACTTTATGATTATGGCACCTCTAGATGGCCGGAGATGTCACTCTCATCAGACCTTCAGACCTTTTTTTGGTTAACAGGCTAGTCTGTTCTCTTTTTTCTATGTTCTTTGAATCTCCTGCATCATTTTTTCTGCTTTTTCATTATGTTCACATTGCCTTTGTTTATTTGTACATGGCGCTTAAAAATCTTGTTTACTTGCGCCTTATAAATAAATCGATCTATTATTATTTTAATTGATTGGCTTTTGAATTGAAACGCGGAGCTGTTAAATTCCATTGGATTTTCCCGCCATTTAGACACGACTATTTTTAAGGTGCATATTGCGTAATTATGCGTTCACGTTGTATCAGTGTCTTAATACATAAAAAGTTAGGGTTAAGCACAATATCTATTGTGATTTATCCTGTTTATATTGCTCTTTTATTACAATAATGATTTTAGGATAAAAAGTGAGCATTGGCCGACTATCACATTCGGACTGCTTAGGCCTATTGTTTGACTGTAGGTCCTAATTTTTTTGACAGCTCAATTTCTAACATTTTCATGGCCATTTAATTATCTGAACCTTCTTTTAATGAGTGCCGCGCGCAATAACGAGAAAGAAGGCTTACTGGAGCTGTATTCAGTAGGCCCAACGTGTATTCGAGTAGAACTATCTATTGTCTGTCGTATCTCGAAAGAAAATGACTCACCATCTATCGATTCACATACTGTATCTTGTCAAATCAATACATTTTCAACCTCAAGGGGAAACTCTATTTTTTATTGTATCACTACCACTCAATAGATTCAAAATAACAATAATTATTTCATTCATATTTATAAGTTGATAATTTTAAGCGATAAAATGATGATTCTTAAAATATTTTCTGTGTAGGCCTACTTTCATAAGGCAGTCACCACACTCAATCAATACGGAATTTTTTTTTTCTTTTGTTGTTTTCTTTTATATTTATTTTTATTTCATCATGTACGGTATTGTATTTGCATTGCAAATTATTGTTACAGTTTAGTTTAATTTGTTATTTTAACTCCTTCTTAGTCAACTGAAATAAAACAGTTATCTTGACCTCATTACACGTACCCGGAAAAGCCTATAGCCTAAACAATTTCACGTTTTTGGTCCCAAAAGTGTCCCCTAAATGTTTGAATATTTAAAAACTGGGGAAAATGTGTAATGGGGGTGGTTCGCCCTTTTCCCTCCAGATTTTGATTCAAAAATCTGCATCTCATTAACCGTTCCCGAGTTATGTTGTTGTACAACATCAAAATTTATTTTCCTCCGAGCATGAATCTCAAATCATCTTATTTTGTGACCTGTAGCTCCCCTTACATAGGCTTAATCATCGAGCGCCCCACTCCACCTTCGCATACCCATCAGTCCCCTACCCCAATTTCAAGACTAGATACGCCACTGGTTATTTGTCTTAAAATTAAGACTTTAAAATGTTATTGAAAAAAAAACTTTATGGGCGATTTCTATTCTGATTTATTATCGTTCCTGGTAGAGAAACTTAAAAATTTGAAAGTATTTCTATAATCATTCAAATTTAATTTGTCCTTATTTTAAATATAATGTATTCTGAAAAAAAAGGTGTGGTGATTTTTCATTCATTCTTTGATATTAATATGATACGATAATTTAATTTTGAGCAACTAATATTGTATGCTTATCATTCAATTAGTATTTCTCCCTGCTTCTTTAATGGTAGGGCCTAGCTGCTGATGCAATATTGTGACCAATCATGCAGCGCATAAAAACACGCTGAGAATTGAGGACAACCGGTGTGGTATCGTCTAGCTGTCTTGTAGGAAGGTGAGCATATGTTTGTCTTTGTTTAGTTATTTTTATTCATTTATTTACAGAAATTTTCCGTACAGTATTGATGCCAAATAGGGTAATAACTTTTGCATCACTTCAAATGCAATTGTTGAGTAGAAATTCTGAACTGACTGACATCCGACCCAAGGCAAGTCAGTGGCGAATGTTCACATTCATCACCACAGCATTGTTGTTTATATTTTAAAGACAGTACTGTACATACATACTCAGGAAGTAAAATATTCTATACAGTGCAACTGACTCCATGGTACTACAGTACTACTATCTAAATACTAGTGGGTAGGGCAATGAAGCATTAGCATTGATTTGTAGTGAAGCACTGATTGCATTTTATTATTAATTTTATATAATCATTTTTATTATAATATTACAATACCTAGGCCCCTTGTTTAAAATAGTAAGTCCATGTATTGCTGTATCCTCGCCCTCACACATTACTGTACAGCGATGCAAAAAATGGTCCTTTATTGTTTCAAAATTGAAGTATAATATATAGAAACATTTTATGCTGCGCAGTAAAACATGTTTGCAGCTCTGTTCAGCCGAGACTTTTTTTTATACCTTGTTTCACGAACATATTTTTTAATTCTCGGGAGGGTGGAAAAAAATTAAAAATAAAATTTAGTCTTCTTTTTTAGCAAATGGTTTTGGCAAAATCTACTAATGGGGGAGAAAATAAAAATAAAATTTTATTGTTGAATGTAAAAGTGTAGTAATGGGATGGTAAAATGCTTTAAATTTATATAATGTGGAAGAAATATATATTTTTTATTTTTGGAGATTTTAAGGCAGCGGCAGGTGTAAGAAAAATTAAGCAAAACTTTTACTTTTTTCTGAAATTTCGATTTTTGTGGCAAAAGCAAAATTTTATTTTTTATTCGGAATAATCCACATTTGCGGGCGGCGGATTCACGAAAGAAAGTATAAAAAATTCTCGCCTCAGAACAAAAAATCCTTAACAATACAGTAAGTGAAAACCAAGTCTCCTTGGTTTTTAAAGTAGACCTGACCCTGCAATCTGGAATGTTATTGTCTGGTTAAATTTGGTAATCTTATCAATTGTGTTGTTTTGAGCTACCGGATGTATAGATGTTTCATGGTACTGTTTTTTGATAGCATTTTTTTTTTCAATTGGTGAAGGTGAATTTCTATCAAGTTTATTTGCAACTATATGCTACTAATTATAATATCATAATTTCTTATTTTATTATTTTTTGTATTATTGCTGAATCCATTTTAGCATAACAGAAGCCTCCTTCACTTAACAGTAAATACAATTGTTACAAATTGAAACAAGAAAACAAATCATAATATTTAGTTACCTGAAATGTTTTTATGTCTTCATTGTTTAGTGATCAGTTGCAATAAAACAATTTTGTGAAAATGTGTGGAATTTGGGCGATATTTGGTAGCAATGAAGACGTGCACAAGTACTGCGAGAGTGCGTGTAAAATAGCGCATCGGGGCCCTGATGCCTTCTGCCTTGAAAACGTCAATCACCTTGCTAACTGCTTATTTGGCTTCCACCGATTGGCTATTGTGGACGATGTGTTTGGCATGCAGCCAATGAGGTTGAAGAACTATCCTCACATTTGGATGATGTACAATGGCGAAATATATAACTTTAAGAGGGTAAGCAAAATTTTGAAAACCTGTGTTATTTATATATTCATCTTGTTTAATATATCTGCATTTTTTAAAACCTGAATGTTTTTAAAGTATTAATTCATTACTACGCTTCTTATCTATCATACTTACTAATATCTTATCGTAGCTGTATTGTGAATTTTCTATTTTCATAGCTGCGTGACCAGTATAAATTCCAATTTACTAGCAACTGCGATGGTGAGGTCCTTATCCACTTGTATGCCCATGGTGGCATTGAATTCATGGCCAAGATGTTGGATGGAGTCTTTGCGTTCTGTCTTCTGGACACACAAACTAAGAAGGTAATTTTTTAAGGACATTATTTGGTTGTCTATGTGTGGCAAAGAACCAGTCACTTAATGTTTATGTTACATTTTCAGGTTTTCATTGGTCGTGATACGGTAGGTGTTCGGCCAATGTTCCGCCTTTACCTGGAAGATGAAGGTATCCTTGCTATCTGCTCAGAAGCAAAGGGGATAGTAGGGCTTGGCGACACACACAACTGCGCCGATATTGAACCTTTCCCTCCTGGACTCTATGAAGAGTACGACTTGTTGAAGAATGGTAAAAGTGTGTTTGTCAGTCGGCAAAGATTCCATTCAGTTGACCAAGTACCAAAATGGGCCTTAGAAACCGGAACACCTCAACCAGAAGGTAAACATTATTGTTTCTTATTATTTCATTTATAATTCTCAACATTATTTTATCAACAGTTTACAATTTTCATTGATAATCCATTATCATCAATAGTTATTAGCTATCAAAAACATAACAACCATTGTTCAGTTTTCATTCATTCATTCCTATGGTATATTTTATTTCAAAACTTCTAAAAGATACAAATAGTAACAATAAAAGTAGTTTAAAGAAGAATTGCCAAATATAACATTGTAGTAAAAACTAAGAAAAAAACAAATAAACATAAAAATACCAATACTTAAATATGCAAAGAAGCACAGTACAATTAAAAAATTCAAACATAGAAAACCTAATATGTGATAATTATTTATTATTATTATTATTGTTATTGTTATTATTGTCATTATTATTATTGTTATTATTATTGCAATTATTTTTTAGTAATTGAATTATTAAGATCATTAATAGCAATATTAATTACTTTTTTACCACAATTATGATCAGATCATCAAAATTAGCATCATTTCAAAAAAAAGGTACCATCATTGTAACATCTATTAAATTTTCCAAATTATATGTAATTTTAAATATCAATGAATTAAGCCCTGTCCAGGCTACCAAATTTCATTTGACAAAAAAATGTTGTATGCCCAAATATAGTCATGATGTGCATATACTGTATATGGTCATGATGTGATGTCATACCATGACTTTGTCTAATAAAATGTGATAGTTTGTACAGGGCTTTATGATTCTTTATAGATGGTGAACACCAAGCTAACATAAGACTCTTGTTAACTGAGGCTGTGAGGAAGAGATTTATGGCTAACAGAAGGATCGGTTGCTTTTTGTCAGGTAGCATAAACATTTATTGAAATATCCAGTCTCCGTCCCCTTGTTTAAAGCTCAGCCCACACTATCACACTTTAAGTGACAATAAATAAATGTGATATGCCCATATTTGGATGTGCAGGGTTGTAGCTGAAAAAAACCTAAGGTTGGGTGTTAGACATTTTGAGAATGGGTGCATAATAACATTGGTAAACTCTAAATAATAAGAGTGGATATTAAGGATGGAAAGTGGGTTAATAAAGGCGCGTGGAGGGCCATAACATTAGCTTTAGACTGGGTGGAAAACTTCAAGGATGGTTGGCCTGCCCACCATCCCACTACATCCCTGATATGACACAAATCGCACAAATTTGTCATATAAAATTATATAGTATGGATAGATTTTTATGTTTATTCTTAAAATGAAAAGGAAAATGTAGTGGAATGATTTTTCTACTATATTTATTAAATGTTTGTGATTTACATAGGTGGTTTGGATTCCAGTTTAGTCAGCGCTCTAGTCACTAAAATAGCAAAAGACGAAGGTGTGGTGAGCTATCCTATTCAGACGTTTTCCATCGGTATGACAGGAAGTCCAGATGTCGCTGCCGCACGCAAAGTAGCAGCGCATATTGGCAGTGAGCATCACGAGATAGGGTTTACTCCGGAAGAAGGTATCGAGGCAGTTGAAGAAGTCATCTATTCCTTGGAAAGCTATGACATCACAACAATACGTGCATCTGTTGGTGAGTTAAAAAGTACCGTAGTTGCCAGGATGTGGCACTTGGTGTGTATAGTTACCCAACCTCAAAGACTTTAAATGCGCGACTGATGAAAATGTGTGTGAGTGGACTTTAGTGGCAGTGCTAATCGAGGACAAAGCCCCGAGGTGAGGTGGGGTGGGGGGTGGGAAGGTTTAGGAATATTTCTTTTAAAAGTAAACCGCTAGACCTTAGAAGAAAGTCAGTGTTTAAAATGGGACTCTTTTGTGTATGCTTAGTAATTTTTATTAGCAACTGTAATTCTAAATGGTTTTTAATGAATGCATGATAAATTGATGATCACGCTTAGATTTTGCAAAATGTGTATTTCATAAAAATCGTAAACTAGCGTAAAACAATTGTGGATGAGATACAAGGTACAAAGTGAACATTACTCATCCAATCAAACAATTCAGAGGTTTAGTGGATTGCAACGCTTATGATTAACATCCATGTTTTCTCATTGATAGACATACTTCAATTTATTCTTCATATTTAAAACAAAAAGTAAGTAACAATTGACTTGATCGGTTAAATTATTTTAATATTATTGGAAAATAATATAGCATAGTGTAGTGAAGTATCATCATATCATCATCTGTATTCTGCTTAGCATTATTATAACTTTTGTTTCTGCAATATTGACTCTATTCCAAATCGTTCTCACATGTAAGCAAGTCAAGTAGTTAAGGAAGGCAGGGGAGGCGCAACGTACATCCATACCATCAGCGCTGGTTCGAACGGCCTGCTTGCCTATGGTTCTGGTGGTCTTCTCGGATAAGGACCATAACTTTAGGCCCTGTGCACACACATTTGGCTCATGTGCGCTTTAAAGAACCCAGCACATCTTTTGAGACGAGTAGGGGGTTACCCTGTTGTACTGGCCCATACAGCCCCTGTTGTGGACAGCCGAGAGTAGCTTGTACCGGGTAGCTCAGGCATGAAGAGACCTAGGAGAGAAGCAAGTTACTGTACGAGCTAATCTGTACACTTTGAGACTTCGGTATAAAGCGCAATATAAATCTAACTACACTGCATTACATGGATCTACCAGACTATCGATTAGCTCTTGTAGTTCATTTTCATTCCTACCTCTTATAATATGCCCCCCAGCCTCAATTCCAGCTTCTGTAAAGTACAAGTATAGTATAATAAAATTTTTATGTATCATATACCATAGTGTATTATCATTTATGAGCATATTTTTCAGGCTAATCCAATATTTTTGTCTTTCAAGTCTCTCAAAAAGTTGGAGGGTAATAAGATATAGGAGTGCCCTTTTTCTTTCTGCACCCCTCCTGGCAAATATCTGGCCCTGCCCCAGTACCGCACAGCCTTGTAAAAGACTGCCAACGGTGGCCTTTTCACAAGTATAATAATAGTAATAATAATAATGATGAAGTCAATGCTGTTGATGATGATGACGACGACGAAAATTCCCTAAAGAAGGGCTATGCTTGATACGATCATATTGTTCCTATTAGAACTGAAATGCAGGACTGTCGTGCATGATGTGAGATAGTTGGTGATTATGGTGTATTGGTTATACATATTATTGATATAATATATAGTAATAGTAATAATAAATAAAATAACACATGTTATTAGTATACATTGAATATTACTGCTATTTGACCTGACATTAATTCCAGGTATGTACCTGGTAGCAAAATATGTCAAGAAGGAGACCGACACAGTGGTAGTTTTGTCAGGAGAAGGCGCTGATGAGCTTTGTCAGGGGTATATATACTTCCACATGGCACCCACCCCAGAGGAGGCTGACAAGGAAAGTCGTCGGTTGTTGGATGATCTATATTTGTATGATGTGTTACGAGGCGATAGAACCACAGCTGCTCATGGGTTAGTAAATTGTGATATTCACCTATGAGTACTGCCTACTTGCACATAAAATAAAAAAATATTTCATTAACTAAAATTTTCTTATCACAAGATATTGTTTGGCAACTATCCATATATGCCCAGATTACATTCTGTCTAGCGATTCCCACTACATTTTTTGTGTGCATGGTTTTTCACAATGAAGGCCTAGGTGGAATTTGGATGATATTAATGGACAAATGAAATTTATTAATTATAACAATTTCAATGACAATAAATGAATTTTTCATCTATTTTCAGACTTGAACTCCGTGTTCCATTTTTAGACCATCATTTTGTGTCCAATTTCCTATCAATACCAGCCAAGCTACGTGTACCAAGGCTTGGAGTTGAAAAGTACATTCTACGCAAGGCTTTTGATGGGACCGGTATTCTACCAGATGAGATCTTATGGCGGCCTAAAGAAGCCTTTAGTGATGGTGTATCATCCACTGAAAAATCCTGGTACCAAGTGCTTCAAGAGTTCATCGAAACCAAAGTAAGGCCTGCTTTTTGGCTACTAGTTTTTGTTTTATAACTTCCATCCAAATGTCATATTCCAGAATGGAATAAATTGAAATTCTTCTTACAAATCATTAGGTAATCTCTTTTCTTCCTCTTCAAAAGTATAACATGATATTTAAAGTGATAAACTGAAATGGTTTCATCTTATTTGGTAAATACTAACCACTTATCGTTTCTTGTTACAAAAGGTACATATTCAATGATAAAATTTAATATTAAGTAATTCTAAAAAGATTTATTTGACAGAAGTGAATGTTGTAAAGTTTGTTGACCAAAATCCAGTCAATTTAACAAATGGTCTTTGCCTCTGATGACGTCATCATCGACCAATTATTACTGTAAAAAAAGTCTGATTTGCACACATTTTACAAAGTGATATATTTTTCTTGTATTTAGTTATTAAAAGTTCAATCTTTTCTTCCATTTCTGGTATAATAAACCTAACTATAAGAACAAACTACTAATGAAAGAGTTGTTGGATTGAGCGCACATGTTTACGATGACAAACAAGAGTGTTGGAGTCAGAAAGTTAGTGACATCGTGAATGCAAATAACGCCATTCGGCGATCTAACAACTAGAAAGACCACGATAGAAAGGATCCATAAAACATACAGATGTTTTAATAAGATTTAAAATAATATTTTGTTAAGTGGAAGAATGCCAGCGATTAAAATAATTTGGTTTTCATCAAAGGTAAATTCAGCTAGGCTCTAGCGCAGTAGACTACGTAAAATGGACTTTTTACTGTATTTATATTTTCCTGTTACAGGTGACTGATAGTATGCTAGAAGATGCTCCTAAACTTTATCCGTTCAATCCGCCAAAATCTAAAGAAGCCTACTACTACAGACAGATATTTGAGCGTTCCTATCCAAACCGTTCATCCTGGATCCCATACTTCTGGATGCCCAAGTGGGTGAACACTGATGATCCATCGGCCAGGACGCTCAAACACTACAAGGAATCCGATGTACAGCATAGCAGTAAAATTGACTGCTAAGCTGGCTTAAGTAGTGCATATTAAAGTCCAGTGATAACATTAAATGTTACATTTATGTTTACCTATTCAAGAAGCTTGTTTGTTTTACCATGTAATCCTTATCTAAAGCAGTGCCTCCAAAACTGTGGGTTGCAACCCCAAAATATGCTGCCAATGTATTAATTAATTAATTTATTTATTCCGGTATAAAAATAATACAAAAAGTAGCCAAAGGCTAAAATCATTGCATTTACAAAAAATATATAGGCCAAAATTAAAAATTTTGAAATTGCACAAAAACATCATGTAAATCATCTTAAAATTGTGTATTCTCTAAGGGGAAAATTACTTTATGTTCACATTTATTTATTAAAAATAATTGTTTTTAAAATTTGATTCATAAGGTGATAGGTAACTTAGGCTAAAGCAGTGCCTTCCAAATTGTGGGTCGCGACCCCAAAATATGCTGCCAATATATTAAGTAAATCATCTTATAATTGTGCATTCTTTTTAAGGGGAACATTTACTTAATCTACTACCAGTTGGTTTACATATACTTATTAAAAATAATTGTTTTTTAAATTTGAAGCATAAGGTGATAGGTAACTTAGGCTAAAGCAGTGCCTTCCAAATTGTGGGTCACAACCCCAAAATATTCTGCCAATATATTAAGTAAATCTTCTTATAATTGTGCATTCTTTTTAAGGGGAACAATTACTTAATCTACTACCAGTTGGTTTACATATACTTATTAAAAATAATTGTTTTTTAAATTTGAAGCATAAGGTGATAGGTAACTTAGGCTAAAGCAGTGCCTTCCAAATTGTGGGTCGCGACCCCAAAATATGCTGCCTATATATTAAGTAAATCTTCTTATAATTGTGCATTCTTTTTAAGGGGAACAATTACTTAATCTACTACCAGTTGGTTTACATATACTTATTAAAAATAATTGTTTTTAAAAATTTGAAGCATGTGAATTTGAGTGAACATTTTAAACATATTAAATGAGTTCTGCAGACCAAAGAAATTTTGAATTGTTTTTAGCTATTTTAATACATTACTGATAAATGGATCCTAGGAGAAATATGCATTTTTTTTTTTAAAGTAGCAAGAAATGTAGTTGCAAAGTTCTAGTTAATAAAATCATAAAATACATTACAGTACTGTACTTCCATTTGTATTTTTAGTCTGAATTAACAATAGTTAATATATTTTACTTACTAATCATCTGACTCCCAGACAGGCCCATAACATTTGTCCCGTTCATTCATATAAGAATTTTTCATCTCAATAACTGCATCCATTTTTCAGGTTACCAAGAAAAGCTTGTCCTCACCCTCTTTTTGTCATCACCTACCTGTCCATTTGTGTAGATGCAGTCGGATTTGTGCGACTGATGTTTTGCTCAGATTTCTATAGGCACTTTCCAAACTATCTTGTCACTTGCACTACGACTTTCTGAATGTTCCAGACTCATTTCACCAGACTTTATGGGCTCAAGGTGAGGACTAGCTCATACAGCAAATTTGGTCTTTCCTAAGCAGTGGCGGATTTAGAGGGGGGGGGGGCGTAAGCCCCGCTCAGAAAATTACCATGCTAAATATTAAAAATCAATCAAATATCAACTCAAATTAATGAAGGTGCCAGAGGTTTAAGGGAGAATCTCCCCCTGTACCCCTACCAGGGGCTCTTTTCTGAAACTGTCACTTAGTTCGGACATTCATGCCCCCCCCCCTCCTCTCTTTCTTACCGGGTTGGATCCGCCCCTGCTAAGGGTCACTTAATGTCTGAGCTACCCTGTGCCAGCTACATACCTTTATCCACAACAGGGGATGTATGGACCAGTACAACATGGTTACCCCCTACTTGTCTTCAAAGATGTGCTGGCCGATATTCCTTCAAGCATCCACTCAATCCAGTGCCAATATGGCTGGCAGCCTCAACATGTCTGCTATTGAGGTGCCAGAGGTTTAAGGGAGAATCTCCCCCTGTACCCCTACTAGGGGCTCTTTTCTGAGACTGTCACTTAGTTCGGACATTCACGCCCCCCCCCCTCCTCGGACATTCACGCCCCCCCCCCCTCTTTCTTACCGGGCTGGATCCGCCCTTGCTATGGGTCACTTAATGTCTCAGCTACCCTGTGCCAGCTACATACCTTTATCCACAACAGGGGATATATGGACCAGTACAACATGGTTACCCCCACTTGTCTTCAAAGATGTGCTGGCCGATATTTCTTCAAGCATCCACTCAATCCAGTGCCAATATTGCTGGCAGCCTCAACATGTCAGTTATTGAGGTATACCACCCATTCCACCCATGCCTCCCATAGGGGGCATGTCCTTCTCTTCTTTGGGTATCTCCGTCACTACAGCCTCTGCCGTTGATAGGAGGGATGCTACACTGGCAGCGTCAACAAGAGCTGTTCTAACAACCTGTGAACAACACCACGAGATATGGTCAGATTCAGAGAAAATACAGTTCAGTTGGATTAAATGACTCGCCTACAATTCATATAGAACACTTAATTACAATTAATGGTGATTTACTAAAATTTAAGATGAAAATTAAAAATAATGTTCTGGGAATCTGCTTCTTTTTTTTTTTTTTTTTGCTAATCATTTTTTTTTTTTTACTTTTTGCCTTTGCGCAATCTTTATTATTTCTTCAATCATTTTCAAATGACTTACAAAAAAATTGCATTCACATAAATAGATATACACTACAGTCAAACTCACTTAGTTAAGTCTTAAGTGCCACAAATATAGTTCGACTTAGATTAAATTAAACTAAAGCAAAGTCGAATTTTATTCGAGTTGCATCACAGTAGCAACTGGACTTAGAAAGTTAGGCCTTACGGACACCCGAACAAATTAACACGCACTGATGGTGCACGCACAATGTTGACTGCACATTTGGCCTAGTACTGCAGAAGTAAAGTAATAGGCTACCTAAACTTACCTTGAAAGCAGTATTCTTCAGAGTAGCAATACATTACATTAAATCTTCATTTGTTACAGTACATGTACATTTAAATGAATTTTTGCACTTTGGCATGTAAAATGTGTCGGACTTTCGTTTTTATTCGACTTAAATTTATTCGAGTTAGAGCAAATATTAACCATTGTAAATATAGGGAAGATGAAGTAACATCAAAATAACTTCAACTTTGAAAATTTTTCGACTTGGGCAGGTTTGACTGTATAAAACATTTAAGAGAGACGGGGAGCCTCCACAGACACGAAGTCCATCAACAGCTGGCTCGTGACCAAAGTTCTTGTGTACTGAAGTACCCTATAAAATGTCAATTCGATTCAAAAAGATGTAATGTACAAAGAGAACAGCACAAATGAATCATAGGATTTTCATGGTTTAAGTGTAGCCAACTGCTCTCAAACAAAATGCAATCGGATCAGTGTATAGTATATGCAACCATGAAATTAAAAAGATTTTGGAACACCTATTGGTCAATTCGTTTACCTTTGTGGGATCAATGATTCCTGATTGGACCATGCCGACATATTCATCATTCAGTGCATCATATCCAATTTCATCAGGTGAATTAAGTATCTTCTCTACCACAAGTTGTCCCTCAACACCAGCGTTCTGTGCAATTGTTTGACAAGGAATTCTTAAAGCCCGACGGACAATGTCCACACCTAAGGAGGAAACAAAATCAAAGAGTGCTTGACAATCATGGAGATGATGATGACGAACGTTACAAGGCACATTTTGTGTACACAAACTCTTGGGGTAAATGTGATGCCAGCATAAATAAGTCTAGCCAACATCATAATATGCTAATCAGCATCTGCTTTCTCAGAATCTGGTAAAGCATTGAAAGCAATCTAATCATCTGTTGGCAGATTCAGTTATCAGTTATGTTAATTCATTCACGAATTTTATGAAAATTGCAATGCAAGCTTGTGTCTCAATTAATTTTGTTGGTCAAAATAAGGTGCTACTGTACTTATTTGTATTCCATGAAAATTGTGGTATCATTAATTTATATTATGGTCAGGTGATAGCACTTTTTACCCCTGGTTTTTGTAAATTTTTTTTTTTTGTGTGTCTCAAACATGGTAGTACTGTACTAATCACATGACTTGATACCTCTAAAACATATTGAATAAATTAACTGATATTAAATTTACTCCACACTCACCTGTTTTCTGATCATTATTAGCAATTTCTAATGTGTCTAGCACCTTCAAACACCTCAAGAGGGCAGTACCACCGCCGGGTACAATGCCTTCCTCTACGGCAGCTCTGGTGGCGCAAAGGGCATCATTCACGCGGTCTTTTTTTTCATTTACCTCAAGTTCACTTGATCCTCCAACCTTAATAAATTGATAAACACTGGTGTTAGAAAATCAGATAAGCTCTTTAGCTTAAATAAATGTTACAAATATTTTTTAGTAGTCTTGACTCAATATTTCCAACATTTTTCTTCAGTAATTAATTTTTCAACTCGTCAGTCATTAACATGGTATTTGCTAAGTGGTTTGAAAAGTCGGTTTTTTAAATGTCAAATGCTATATTTTTTATGATCTGCCCCAATGGTCAACTGCAAAATATTTACCTTCAATACAGCAACCCCATCAGAAAGCTTGGCAAGTCTTTCACTTAACTTCTCCTTTTCATATTCAGAGTTGGTTTCTCCAATTTGCTCTCTGATCACCTCAATCCTGTTTTCAATAGCTGCTTTATCTCCACCTCCCTGTTAAATTAATCACCCTGTTAGCATATACAAGTTATAACATAAGGTTCATTATCATTATCATGTGACTGTTCAATAGCATAATGTAGATCATTACCATATAACAGCTTATTTGCAATTTATTGTAAATCAAAGGCATTGTTTATCAATGTCTAAATTAAATATTTGGATTCCAGATGAATTGGACATACAGTACAAAAAAAGAAAAACGTAATACATATAAATACTATGTAACATAAAATTACTAAAATAGTTTATTTGCAGTATACTAGGTCAATTATCACATACCAGCTCATTTACCATTGAAATATCATTTATGCTAATTTTGGGTTCATACACTGCATTTCATTAGCATATAACTGATATACAATTAATTGAACAAATAAGGCAAACTCACCTTCAATATCAAGGTATCATCTTTGGTGATGGCAATTTCACCAACTGTTCCAAAATCTTGTAATTGTATTTCCTCCAGCTTAGTATCTACAGCTTCATCACCAAACACCTGATTAAACAAAAAAGTTCAACCATAGAATTGTACCATACTTTTTTTAATTAGATATAAAAAAAATATTTATTAATATATTATTCCATATTTAAATGATGATAATGATAAAACATCAGCAGATCATTACTATAATCACCATCATTAACTACGTACCATTCCTCCAGTGGCAATGGCCATATCTTGCAGTTGGTTCTTCCTGTTGTCCCCAAAGCCTGGTGCCTTGACAGCACACACCTGAAGACCAACCTTTAACCTGCAAGGAATTAATTGGTACAGTTAATTAATGAAAATACAGCAATACTGATTTGAGATTCATTTTCCCATCTAACCCAAATTTGGATAAGTTTTCTAGAGAGCAGCAATTATATAAACTGGCCTTTACATCAGCCTCAAAGAAAAGTTATAATTCGTTACCATAGAAATGCAAAATGTGGTCGTTGCATTGCAACCAATAAACAATGGATTTATGATGAATGATGAGGACCACTTGAACACATTGAACTGCCACCAACAGATGAACATTGTTAACATAATACATATAATAAATTATTAATACAGTAATACTAATAACATGAGTGATAACACAATATTAACATCATAATATAATAGTACAATGTTCTCACCTGTTCAAGACTAGTGTGCTCAGTGCCTCTCCATCAACATCCTCACTGACAATAATTAGTGGTTTTCGATGCTGATTGGCCAGTTCTAGGGCTGGCACAATCTGTTGAATACCGGAGATTTTCTTCTCCGATAACAACAGCAGGGCGTCTTGATATTCAACTTTTTGTCCTGAATACAAACAAATATGTTATGTTTATTGTAAAAAAATAATGATATACCGCCATAACCCTAAGAATAGAAGGCAAGTACTGTACCTTAATTGTAAATGTACAGCTTCATTCCAGCATACATTGATAATGGAAAATAGCACAGGGCATCACATATTTTCACCAACTAAACAGAAAGATTACATACTGTTCCCTTTTACTCTTCTATTTATATATAAGTACCAGAAACAGTATTTTTAGACAACTTGTACCTATCATAAATAGTTGAAGGCACTAGTCATGCAAGCTGTAGAGTTAAGAAAGATGTAACTTGATTGTTAGGATGCCTGCTTTTCAAAACCATGATTCTGGGATCAAATCCTGCGAAAGCACAGAATTTTTTTTCAACTAAAGAACCTCTCCACTTTCTAAAGCCTTGCCATCAGACTGGTATAAGAGATCTTGAAGCTGCAAATTATTTCATTTGTTTACGAGGGCCCTGAATATCAGCTGACCTAGGCTAAGATAGAAGGATCACCTTCAAGGGTATACAAAAGAGCAGGTTGGATGAGAAAGAATTTGAATATATGCAATACCTTTGCTTGTGTTTATGAAATATGGCGAAATGTATCCTCTGTCAAACTTCATTCCCTCTATAATTTCAAGTTCATCTTCCAATGTTTTGCCATCTTTTACCGTCAATACACCATCACGACCTACAGCCTTCATGGCCTTTGAAATCAGGTCACCAATCTCTTTGTCCCCATTGGCTGATATTGTTGCAACCTGCAAAAATGATCAAATATCAATTTAATAAAAGGATAAGACTTTAAAATAACTTTTCATTTAGTTTCATAAGAAATGGCACAAACAATTATAATAATTGACTGACCTGGGCAATTTCTTCTGGTGTAGTTACTGGCTTTGACACTTTCTTCAAAGCACTTACAATTGCGTCGACAGCGAGCATGACTCCGCGACGGATCTCAACAGGATTTGCTCCTCTGCTGATTTTCTCGAAGCCTTCTTTGGCAATTGCACGTGCAAGTACTGTAGCTGTCGTGGTACCATCTCCTGCTTCTTCATTTGTGCTATTGGCAACATCTTGAACAAGGCGTGCACCTGTGTTTTGCAGCTTATCTTTCAGGTCTATTGATTTTGCAACGGTTACACCATCTTTGGTGATCTTTGGTGCACCCCAGCTTTGTTCAATGATGACGTTTCGGCCCTGCAAAAAAATTAGAGCTTGAAAGTTATATTGTAAATAATTCATTGGAGGCCTATATTTTATTTCTTAATTGACATGCTTTGATATTACAATCTGTGGTTTTTTCCTCACCTTTGGTCCCATTGTTACTGCAACTGCATCTGTAAGAAGATCAACACCTTGCAACATCGCCGCCCTGGCTTCGGGTCCAAATTTGATGTCTTTAGCATAACCGCGGGATAAAGCCGGTGTCAAGTTCTTGGATGTGAGCTGACGGGCAGCCAATGGCAAAACACTGTTCATACGGTGCATCTTGGTTCTGAGAATTATTACTTGGATAAAAGTTAAAATAAAAATTTCCTAATTTTTTGCTCAGTGGGCAGTGCATGGGGTTGCGCAAAACTTTACTGTACTGGGGGTGGTTTTTAGAAACATTATGCCACTAAACGTTAGTACCTCCTACAATTGGCTTTTCCTGGGGTGCTATGATATGCTTCCTTTGAATGTGGGCTACTATGCATCTATTATGATGGTGATAGCCTTAAGTTGAAAAGGAAGGGCAGCTTTTGGCCAGCCTAGTCTGGCCGAAATGTCATCAATGAACAACTGGGGTGCACCAAAGATCACCATTTTGTATTTTGATTAATATGTTAAATTAAGTTTCTCTTCCTAAAATTGTAAAAAATAACTGACCGTTTGAGAGACAGTACTTTTGTATTGAAAATGTATCCAGTCAAAAGAAAGAATAAATATATAGGCCTATAATAAAATTTCAATAATAAATTTTAATTAATTTTCAATTTCATTTTCAGATTTGTTCAATAAAACTTATTTTTGGTATATTAATATTTTCTTTAAAACACAAGCAAGGATAATAATACAGATATAAAAGAACAGTATTCAGAAATCAAATATCAATACGACCAAGACACGACTAAGGATAGGACGTAGGCACTGCTATCCCTTCTCCAGCCTAGCTTACGGTTGTGATGCCGCAGCACCCACGTGTGTAAGGCCTACTACTACTACTGCAAGCAACGATCAAGCAAGGAGAAGGTGCTCCAAAAAACTCTCAATAAAAACAATTATGATTTACAATTTGTTTCTATATGATTTAATAAAAATCAAATACACTTACAGAAGTATTGCAATGTTTAAATTTAGCAGAAAAAAAGAGGAAACAGTTGTGTAACGAAGACCTGGAAACCAACTGATACTGTTCAACTGAGCTGCGAATACGAGGCTAGCGAGTACACGCAAGAACATGTGCAACTTGCAACAAGAGCAACACCGGCTTTTAAATTGTGCCCTGGAGTATGAATTCTGGACACTGATATAACACTGTTGTTTCACATTATACATAAAGTGGACATTGTAAAATAAAATTATGATTAGGGAAAATATTGTACAAATATGAGTTTAAGGTTTCAAATATGTATCTGCAATAAAAGTTCCATATTTTTAAATTATTTTATTATGCAAAGTGGAAGTTTCATTTAAAATCCATAATCGGGGTCCTTACAGGACAGAACATTCTGGATAACACGAAATGAACGTGATTGAACTACGCATGCGTAATAAAGGATGCCGACATAGTGTGCATAGACCATGTGTTGATCCTTTCTCTACTCCAGCCAGGGTTCTTCTTTCTATCCGGTGAATTTGTGTGCGTTGAGATTCTAGGTATATTTAATTAAGTTTAAAATGGTAAGTCAGAGTTGATTGCATGTTCTTCAGTAATGTAGTAACGTCAAAAGTTTCTGCTATAAATGATGCTATCATATCAGTTTATTTAGCCAGTGTTAGGTGGTTTTGCTAGGGCCTAGGCTTAGGCTAAATAACCTTTCTCGGCTCGTCTGGTGCCGGTGGTACCACAAACACCATCATGTGTCTTCTTCATGAGGTTAGAGAGACCTCAATGAGTTATACTTCTAGTAATTGAAAAGAGTGAAATCGATAGTTAGGTTTTGAGTAATTGAAGGAGGCCATGCCAGCGCTAATGCACTTTCGCACAATTTTAATTCTTAATTTTTTTATTTGAATTTTCTTCTTACAGTCACAACACATAAGTATAAAACATTTTTACATGATTCAACCAGTCATAAAGTAGGCCTACATTTTTTCAACAAAAGATACCTTTATAAATATAGGTTGATACAGGGTTGCCATGCTTGCTACTGTAGCACGACGAGCTGTACATTTTTGCAATCAAGTAAGAAAAATTGCCAGAATGTCCTAGTCAATTCTTAAATTTTGAAACCATTGGCATTAAAGGCCAGTCTAGTCTTATAATTTTAGTTGGAATTTTCCCATGCAACATCCGACAACAAAATGTGGCATCATGCAGTACCTTCTATTTGAACTTTCTTGTCATAATCGAGGTTAATCGAACCGACGTTTATCATTGGCTTTAATAGTTGTTTTTCTGGATTTAGGCCTAGGCCCTATTTTTCGATCTGTGTACACATTTGGATCATTACTAATTTTTGAAGTAATTATTGTACGTGTGAATTTCATGTGAACACACATAGTCAAACAACAGCACCATAAAATATAAAGAATGACATACAATACGGCAAATAGATAAATTTTCATAAACGTTTAATAAAAAAACTTCACGCTGCAAACTCAGACATTCTGGCAATTTCTTACTGATTACAAAATGGCAGCCGCTCGTCGTGTTAGCGAACACAGATTCGCTGTACTTATTTGTGGGCTTACTTGTTGAAAAAGGTACTTTGTGATTGGTTAAATCATGTGAACATGTTTGTTAATTATATGTTGTGACTGTGAGAAGAACATTGAGGTAAAAACTTTAAGAATTAAAAGTTCTGGCAATTTCTTAATGATTGCAAAATGGCAGCCTCTCGTCGTGCTAGCGAACACAGATTCGCTGTAATTATTTGTGGGCTTATTTGTTGAAAAGGTACTTTGTGAGTGGTTAAATCAGGTGAAAATGTCTGTTAATTATATGTTGTGACTGTGAAAAGAACGTTGAGGTAAAAAAATTAAGAATTTAAAGTTAGGTGCGAAATTGCATTAGCGCCGGCCATGCCTTAGGACAGTATTGTCTTGAAATTTTGGTATGATTTTTTTTCCAGGCAGCCTTGAAGAATTTTCGTCCGCTTTTTGATCGTGTTCTTGTAGAGCGTTTCCTTCCAGAATTGAAGACTAAGGGTGGAATCATGCTGCCTCAGAAGGGTCAAGCCAAAGTACTGGATGCAACGGTGGTAGCTACAGGTCCAGGAGCAAGGATGGATGTAGGGCCTAATTATAATTATTAGATTTTAATAAAGTTTCATGACACAAGAAAGTAGAATACTGTAGAAAAAAAAACCATATATGAAAAAGGTAGACTATAATTAAGCATCATACTCTCGGATGGGATATAATCTCACTGACTCTAAATTATTGTGGATTGTGGTAAATACAGTATCAAATTTTGTGATGAAGCACTGAGTTTGTAACATTCTTAAATGATTTTTATTTTATTAAATAGATGAAAATAATGTTAACATTCTACAAAATGGGCAAAACATGCCGTTTTTCATCTTAAATATCAGAGGTCTTTTAGTTTGCTTTAAATACACTTATTAACTTGCATGTCTTGTTTTCAAAGGATGGTAAACGTCAGGAATTGTGTGTTGCTGTTGGAGATCGAGTATTGTTACCAGAATACGGTGGCACAAAGATTTCTATAGACGATAAGGTAGGGAGATTTTTGTATATCATACAATTTAATAAATATATAGTATTTCATGCACCACCTATTGCATAACTTTCATGTACTGTATACAGTAGTATGCATTCAGTAGTTAGCTACAAATGTGTGCAGTTTGAATTTTTTTCATTAACAGGTTTTATTATTTTATTATTATTTCAGGAATATCACCTATTCAGAGAGGGCGACATCCTTGCCAAGTACGATTCATGAAGACTGGTTTAGAAACAAAGATGTATTTATACTTTCTATATTTCAAAATATAATCAAGGTTAAAAAGACATTCAAAACATGGAAGAAAACATGGGCGAGTGGTGATGATAACCTCTGTAATGAATCTAAATCGACAGTTATATTAAGAATACATAGACCTAGAGCAAATATGACTGAAAGTGCTGTATTGTGAAAAATATAACTTTGGGACAGATGTATTTAGAACTCTATTCACATTAAGGTTTTTTTGTGTGATACTATATAGCCATATATGGGCATGATGATGCGATATTACATCTGTTCCATATATGGACAACACTGGTACTT